CACGTTTCCTGAAGATAGAAGAGTTTGTTGAATCTGACGTGACATGTTCGTACGAACCCTTTGTACGAACAAAAGTAAGAGAAATTTAGGATAAAAATACAAACATGTTCTTGCATGAGGCCCAGGGAGTTGACTTTCTGACTGTCTTCATGAAGTAGCGCTGGGACAGCCAGTGATCCAATGTTTCAGTGTTTCAGTGATCCGGTGATCCGGTGCTGGGCTCCAGCAGGAAGTCTTACCAGAAAAGTGCAGGTTTTTATCTGCCTGCAGGGTCACAGCTGGCCACATTCTGACAAAAACAAGGGTGTTCAGGAGGTTGCTCGGGGTAAGTGGAGAAGCTTGCAGGGAGTGAAGCTGCGCCTGGCTGAGCTCCAGAAAACTGAGTAATCAGTCTCAGAAGGCATGTGGACTTGGGCACACCCTGCAGTGGTCCAGATGGTCTGAAACTGCACTGGGATGTAAATACAGCCACAAAAGAAAGCATCTTTCAAACTGCACTGTCTAATGACGCACGGTTAAGACAGAAGTAAGCAAATAATGAAGGATTTAATCCCAGTAAAAGTTGTTGCAGTCTTTGTGTCTGAGCGACAGTGTTGAGCTGCTCTGTGTGTAATTCACAGCACGTCTCGTCTCCGAGACTCTCTCCAGACAGACTGCAGCCTACAGCATCAGCTCTCATCACTAATTTTAATACAAAAGCTGTTTTTAAAGGCCTGGCATGAAGGAGTTTAACAGCGTTTAATCTGAACAGAAGGAACAGAGTTGTAGACGTTATTGGTAAAACTTTGGAAATATCATTATGTGTAATTAATGCAATGTGTTGGTGATGCAACGTTCAGCTCAATATCTGTAAAAACAACTAAATTATATTTATTTTTGTGTTAGCTAAGTTTAATTAGCTGTGATGATCATCTTGAATCTTACCGGTGATAAATCTCTATAATAGGGCTGCAACAATTAATCGATTAATCGACGACTAATCGATTATTAAAATAATCGATGACTAATTTAATAATCGATTAATCGTTTTCTTTTTTTTTTTCCTCTCCAAACTGCTTTGACACCTTCCACTGCCACATCTGCCTTTCTGACCTTGACACACATGTACAGTAGTGGTAACTGGGGTAGGCCGTGGACGTCACAAGACATTATACAGACAGGCTCTGGTATCATGGCTACCTGACAACRGAGCTCAAAAGTGTGGGATCATTTTAAGAAAATGAAAGAGAAACCTGTRYAATATCTGCAGAGCAGAACTTACCTTCCACAGCAATTATTTTTAGTTAGCATATAGCTAAAATTTAACCATGGTTATATAATAGCAGCTGCATTCTGGCGCAATAAGCTCTATGTTTTATATTCAATTAACTATGATTTGATTAGTCGACTAATAGAAAAAATAATCGGTGATTAATCGATTATAAAAATAATCGTTTGTGTAGGGTCAAACAATGTTTTAGTCAAACAGAACCAACAAGAATGAAACAAAAAGTAAAGAATTAGAGAAAAAAATGTTAAATGTAAATAAATTCTAATTATAATAAATTAATAATAGTTTTACATCTAAAAATCATATTTTATTATTTTAATCTATTTTCCTCTTTCAGCAACCTATTAAATTTCTGTTATGTTTCATGTAGGAGAAATGCACATTTTTTCAGTCAGTGTTTAATACAGCTGGCAAAATAAATTGTTAAAATATGTATTATGTGCTTCTGTTTCTTAATTCAGATTATAAAAAAATCCTTCATTTTATGGGAAGACCCTCTTGATACAAGAGAAAACTCTGGTTTTTTTTAAAAAAATGGCTGCTTATTAATTAATTGTTAATCAATCTATAAGATAAATCAACTTCATTATCAATAACTTGCATCCTTAAGGACTTATTAATCAACAGATTAATCGATTATTAAATTAATCGTTAGTTGCAGCCCTACTCTATAAACAAATGAACCTGCTGGATAATTAATTCATTTACTATGTTATATCAGGCCCAGGCCTACCTTGTAAAAGAGATCCATCATATCAGTGCCTAGTTAAATAAATGTAAGATAAAAAGAGAAATTACATCTGTGAATCACGAAGAGGAGTAACTGTCGTGCTGAAAATGAAATGTCTGCTGGTACCTGAACACAGCACGCCATCAATCAGCTGAAAGAACGGGACTAAATCCCATTCAGACATCAAACACGAAAGCCAATCGTCTTTTATTACAGAGCGAGCAGTCAACCAGATCTGCTGCTGCTGGAGACTAAACCCTCGGGACCTGTGATGACTAAATAAAGTCCAGTCAAGTCCCTGAAGCCTCTCGTCTGATCTGGAGCTTCATCCTTCTTATATAATAACTCAGCTGATGATCCTATAGGATGCAGAAATGATGACAGTAAACCCCAGGAGCCAGTCGTTGTAAGAACTGTGAGTTCAGCTTCATCATTCTCATCACATCTTCAGACTCGTGTCTGTCTGAGCAGCTCCTGGACCCGTGCTTCAACTCCAGTTAATAAAAATCTTCTTAATGTTTTAGTTCAGGGACAATATTCCCTCTGAAACCATTTACAGTTTTTTATAGGAAACACTGAGATGATTTTGGTGACATTGGTGCAAAGTCATTGCAGTGATTCAGCAGAAATATTATGATGTCTAACTGCACGCTACAAACGAACACCTCACAAAGATGACAGATGGGCCTGAGACATCTTCCAAGTGTCCTCATTTTTCCAGCTTCACAAGCTCAAATAAAGTGAATTAATGAATTCTGTGGCTCATCAGGCAGATGTACCCTAATCAAAGACCTCCGGGTGCTTTACAGGGAGTTATCTGCATTGTAGCATCTGTTACAAGTCTGGGTTCTTGGTGATGAGCCAATAAATGATCTATGTTGGTTTTTCTGTTCTGGACAGCTACGTCTGAAAACTTACAGTGCTCACAGTAAATTGTACAACCCCTACTCCAGTGAAGTTGGGACGTTGTGTAAAACAAATAAAAAACAGAATACGATGATTTGCAAATTCTTTTCAACCTATATTTAACTAAATACACTACAGACAAGATATTTAATGTTAAATCGGATAAACTTTACTGGKTTTTTTTTGCAAATATTCTAACACAATTCTCACTCCCAACTCGTCAGATATTGACGCTCTTCCAAGGTTCCCTCTGCATCTGATCAACATGTCAAAATGTGTTGGGTAAGCCCTTTGCGTCAGTTACTGACGCACCAGACATTTCCGGGTTCCCTTGGCGTCCGGTTTTGACACGTCGGGACGCAAAATGTAGGGGTCTTTGAGTTGGGGTCCGTGGTTAATTTCAGGAATCAGGGTTCATGGTTAATTTTAGGTTGTAGGGTCAGGGATAGGATGTCTAGGGCAAATATTAGGTAATTTTAGGGTTTGGGACACGTAGTTGACGTGAATTTCCTACACTTTCTAAAAATGGTTAATTTTAGGGATCAGGGTTGATGGTTAATTTTAAGTACTAGGGTCAGGGGTTCTAGAGTGAATAAAGGTAATTTTAGGCTTTGGTACGGTTAGATTTGTGCATTTTCTACACTTTCTGAAATTATGACAACGGATTCCGCCCATCTTGTCAATAACTGATGCGAGGGGGGTACCCAATGTGTCAAAATTGGATGCAGAGGGAACCTTGGAAAAGGGTCAATATGTGACGAGTTGGGAGTGAGAATGGGTTGAATATTCTCTCATTTTGAATTTGATGTTACACCATGTTCCTTCATTGGATTTGAGGTTGTATCATTTGTTGAAATGAACAATGCTTGGGTTTGGCTGGGTCTTTTTTAATGTTGCTGACTGGGGATTTTTCTGAAGTCATTTAGAAAAACAAAGAGAGGGGCCAGAAACCATTCTCCTTTGCAGAGACCCAAACGGGTGAATCTATGTTTACGTGGTGTTTGGTCATACCTCCCACAAAGTTCTTCTCCATGTAATCTATAATCTGGTTGTAGTCGCTGATGATGGTGTCTCCGTGGAGGAAGACGGGCACCTCTTCGCCCAGGTTTAATCTCATGAACCAGGGTTCTTTGTGCTCCTGCAGCGGCAAACTGACATCCCTCTCCTCACAGACCAGACCCTTCTCATGGATCACCAGACGGACCTGAAATCACAAACACCTGCTTTTAACCCTTTACTGCATATTGATCTGAATAAACTGTAGGRCTGGGCGATAAAACAACAACAGTACATATCATGGTAGAGACATGATCCATATCAGTAGAAATTACATCCAATAGAACGATGATAATTTCACTGAACTCTGATCCAGAACTTCCGGGGGATGTAGGCAGAGGACAGGCTTTAGCTGCTCAACCTCTCACTGTCCAGCTGAACAAGGTTGATGCATCAAATTAATTCCCTCACTCTTTGGTCAGCTGTACCAACCTGCTGAGTAACATGTAGCAATTTCATGTTTCACCACCGTGTCTCAGAACTGCTTTAAAATAAAAAAGAACAACGTGGAGTGAAAGGAGAAAATGATGCAACAGCTTCAAAGGACATTATGGATAAAAGAGAAAAGGTCACATCAGCAGTTTGGCAGAATTAACTGATCTTTATTTCAAACAGATAAAACAAAATGAATCAATAACTAGGTACCGCATAGCGGTAACATAATGACCCCCGCACGCACAAATGCACCAGAACTCAGAAGTCTTTATTCCTAATAAATGTCATGGTACTAGTTGCATCCCAAAATTGAAGTGGTTTGGGTAGGGGTCT